TTTAGCTATCAATGTGATGGGAACCCTGCTCACAGGTAAACACTCCAGCAACCCCTAAATACATGGTTGTGTAAATTAGAATTATTGTTCTAGACTGAATGCAGTTTTGTCTAAGTGCCACTGTGTTAATAATGAGTGTAAAAGTAACGATTCTTGACTGGATTTTTATAATAATTCCTTTTTACTTAACCATTTCTTTTCCCTTGATAGTTTTAACCCAGTCGAAGCGCTATGCTTTTTTTATGCCGACCCTGCCTTGTTTGGTGTCGTTCTGTCAAGCTTTTCCTCCTTTGTATGAGGACATTATGTCTCTGCTGATACAAATAGGACAAGTTTGTGCCTCTGATGTTGCTACGCAGACAAGAGACTTCGACCCAATTATTACACGTAAGTGAAGTACCTTGTATTTCAAGTGTAACGTCATGGTCCCAGGGAGAAAATTTTGTTAATGTTTCAAAAGTTTGAGTGTATTTGGAACACAGTATGAAATTCTGCTCTTGTCTTGTAAATAGAGAAGGAATAGGGATAGGTCTATATACTGTATTGGAGGAAAGAGTTTTAACATGTTTTTGTCTCTGTTTTTCTAAGGACAAATGCTCTGTTCATGTGATACAAGTTCCCTGGTGCTATCTATGCTAGGATATTTATGTTATAAGAAGTAAGAGGGGGACATAAAAAACCCCAAAGGAGTCAGACATATGCAAATGAAAAGGAAATGTAGTGTCTCTAGAAATAAGCTGTGCAATTTCATAGCATACACGTTGTGTTATGGATATAATAGAACAATTTTTAAAAATCATTTATTTATTTAGGTGTACTTTTCTGCTACTTAATTTTCTAGGTCTCCAGCAACTAAAGGAGAAACCACACGAAGTGTCAGGACTTTGTAAAGATTCCTCTAACAAAAGCTGTTCAAGGGAAATTGTAAGCATGGACCCTGATGTTCGGTTATGCCAATGTGTTGAAAATACTATCATTGAAATAATTAACATGAGCGTAAGTGGAGTTTAGGAAGAATGCAAATGAAATTGTACTGTAGCTAGTCCCACTGTCTGTGGTGCCTAAATTTGGAGAAAGCTGTGAAAATGGACTGAGGAACTGGAGCACAAGAAGTCCATGGTTTTCATCCACTTGATTCAGTTAAGGCTGAAAAGAAAAGAATTCTTTAAAGAGGCTTCTGTTGCTTCCAGTGAAAACTTTGGAGGCTGATGAGGTCAGTAAGTAATTTCCAGTGAACCTGGGCGTGATTTTCAGGCTTGCTTGGTTTCTGAAGCGATACAGCAACAGACTCGAAAGGGTTTTACAGCATGCTGAAAAGTAAATACTTAATTTGTTGAGCAAACAGCAAAACGATGGGCAAGAAAAATTTGAGATTGAAGTGCTTTGCTTGAGTTAAATGAACTCCTGTTGCAGAGCCTTGCAGAGCAAGATGGAATAAAATACTCCATGGAACACTTGAAAAAGTGGTGTAAGTAACTTGCACCAACACGCTAAGAAAATGCTTTAACTTTTTTTTATTGGTCTTTCAAACCATTGGTGAAAGTTTCAGTTCATGAGATCAGGACCTTCATTTAAAGATCAGCCACCCTTCATTAAAAGTTTGAAACTGGTCTAACAGTTTCTTTAAAAAAAAATACTAGTACTACAAAATGAGCTGGATAAATGGGGTTTTAAAGGAATATGTATTTTTAATGCAGCTCAGATAGTTTGAAAGAGATGAGAAAGACTTAAATAAGGGCAAAGGTATCTTAAGTTGTCATCAGGGTATGATTAAAAAAAGAAATTAGTGTTGAGGCTGACTTGGACAGAAGCTAAATTTCCTCATAATGAAAGGAATGACAAGACTTCAGCCATACCAAAGTGGTTACGTGCAGCTCAGTGGACAAGAAGGCTGAATCCTTTGTGCTTCATCCATGAAGTTGGTTGTTCTTTCATCTACAAAAGCTGCAGGATTTAGCCTTGACCGAGGTGTTTTGTGGCATTGCAGAGGGGTGTGTATGATGCAATGCTTGGGAATTTCTTGAAGGTTGCACAAGCTTTTATGTGAGGCAACACGTGCTTTTGTGGCACAGAAAGAACATTAGGGTTTGGCTGTCGTGCCAGAATTGAGTGTAGTACTCAAATACACGTCAATTGCTAAATTTGTCAATCCAGCACTTGCTCTTTTCTTAAAATGACAAAATCCAGGGTCCTTATATCAGTAGAATAATTTTCAATTAAAACCAGTTTACATTCCAGAAATTAGAGGTGTGATTCTTTAGTGTGGCTTTGGGAAAATGGTGCATCTCGTGTCCTCTGCCCGTGTGGGACAGTGATTTTTTGAAGGCTGATACTGAATTGCCAAATGCACTTGGGTTTGTGTTCCAGGATTACCAGCGTGCTGTAACTATCCGATAACAACCAAGTATATTGTTGTCATCTTGATGTAAAGTATGTAAATAATCTAAATGTATGTATTTTTTTTTTCCTCTAAGTGTAATTTTATATGCTGTAGTGGTATTTAAATAAAAAAAACCTCCAGTGTATGATTTGGATCAAGTCATAGATACTGATATTTTTAATTTCAAAGCGAGTTGCTTGTCTTGATTTATATTGTTGTATATTGTTTTGTGCCCCAGGGGTGCTGAAGGCCGCATGGCCGCCCTCCTCCAGGGGCCTTCCTGTGTGGTGGGATTTAAAAGCCACCGACTTCTACTAAAACCAATGACTCATTGTTTTAGTTCTCCATAGAGTGTTTTCAGCACCCTGTGCTTAAAACAAGATAAATAATAAAAAGTATCCAGGTATTGATGATGCGAGGGCTGGAGCAGCTCTGCTTTGAGGACAGGCTGAGAGAGTTGGGGCTGTTCAGCCTGGAGAAGAGAAGGCTCCAGGGAGATCTTATAGCGGCCTCCCAGTACCTGAAGGGGCTCCAGGAAGGTGGGGAGGGACTTTTCATAAGGGCAGTTAATGACAAAACAAGGGGAAATGGGTTTAAGCTGAAAGAGGGGAGGTTTAGATGAGATATTAGGAAGAAGTTTTTCACTGTGAGGGTGGTCAGACAGTGTCCCAGGTTGCCCAGAGAAGCTGTGGCTGCTCCTCCCTGGAAGTGCTGAAGGCCAGGTTGGATGAGGCTTTGAGCAACCTGGTCTAGTGGAAGGTGTCCCTGCTGCTGGCAGGGGGGTTGGAACTGGATGAGCTTTAAGGTCCCTCCCAACCCAAACCAGTCTGGGATTCTATGATTTTTCAATACAATTATGGTTGCCTAGCAACGAGTAAAACCGAGAGGCCAACAAGGCCTTTCCAGATTGGTTCTAATAGCGCAGAGGTGGAAGGCGGGAGCGGCTCAGTCTGCTATTTGCTGATTGGTGGCTCGGGGCTCCTTCCCGTCAGCTGGTTGGCGGCGGGGGGGAG